TTTTTTTTTTTTTTTTTTTTCGAAGCATATTATTAATTGTTTAATAAACACTGGACCGGACCGGCTAGTCCGACCGGTTGGAGAGGGAACCGGTCTGTTGACCAGTCCGGTTCGCTGGAAAGAACTAGTTGCCAGTGAACTGGTCAAAACCGGCCGGTCAGACTGGTTTATCCGTTCCATTTTTTCAAAAATACTTTTTAATATATTCGAAAGTATTTTTAATATAAATAAAAATAATGCATGATCAAATATACTGTATATGTAAGAATTATTTATCAATTAATTTAAGCATTTGAATGTTTTAAATTGTCTAAATATTTTATTAATTATATTTATCTTATTAATTTATTACACAAAGTACTATATATATATATATATATTTAAATATAATGAATTAAATACCAGCTCGATCAGTTCAACCACTAGTCCGACCGGTGAACCATTGAACCAGTAGCTTGACCGGTCCAGTTTTGAAAACCTTGATATTATTTTATCAAATTAGCGTTGCCTTTAAATTTAAACATTCATGATAAGTGCACACTAAAAACCAAACACATTTCATGAATCTGTTCTCCATCACAAAATCGTTCCTTCTGCGGGCCTCCTGAACCTATGATCAACGGCCTTGTTCTGTTTAGCTTTAGGTAGGATATATGGTTTTCTTCCTTTTTTTTTTTTTTTTTTTTTTTTTTTTTTTTTTTTTTTCTTTCCTTGGGTGGCTGGGAGATGGGGGCATGATATATTCATAAGTAAAGCATGATGGTTTTACATGGAGCCTGCCAGAAAGGCGACCTGATGATTGCTCTACTACTATACAGCATGCACACAACTATATATCTTTATACCCTTGGTCATTTTCCTTTTCCTTCTCAGAAATTGGTGTGGGTTTCAATCCAGTGGGAAAACTAAAATTCCAGAATGTACAGTTAATTGCCTTTTGCGTGCTCTATTCGGAAATTATTGGATAATTATATCATCTATCACCATGGGGGATAAAAGTTCATCAAGCACTGAATAATTGATGACCTGCTCAGTGTTTGACAAATAGGGTTCACCTATGATTCACTATTTATGATTAAAGCGAATCATTTTCCACCTCCTCTTGCTTTTCTGAGTATCAGCAATTCAGCATTCAAAGTTCCGGAAATTGAGAACCACTGATCAGCTGGTAAAGTCACGCAAACAACTTAAATGGCTTTTTGGCGGGCCACACAAAATTTCACCCAGTTTGATCCAGTTGAAGTTTAGCCATATATGGATGTGGTTCCATATGTAGATACCAGCTCATATTCATTGCATATTACACTAAACTATTTTTTTTTTT